TAACTTAGCAAAACCTGGACCATTCCAGTTTCTTGCACGCACCAGGGCACACTGAAGGAAATTCCCGACAAGCAAGAAGAATTGAGTGTGTTGTGTCCGGTTCTTGGCACCGGTCGTAGTGTGAGAGTTTGTGAGACAGGATGCTAGGTATCATTTTACCGCCAATATCTAACGAGTGTTCTGCAACGACACGCATTTCGTCTTCCACTAATCCAGTAGACACCAGATTACTTTCTTTCGTGTCTTGATCGTATCATATTTCGCCTTACCATACGATCACGACCATTGGCTAAGTTGTTCCACTGATGATATACACATTCGAGCTTGCAAAAGCCTTCTCATGATGACGAGTAGGAAACAGGAACGCTCGCCATGCCGTCAGTTGCTTGACTCGTATCTAGACTCCCATCCCAGGTGACAGGAGGTATGAACTCGTAAAGTGACGCTGTAAGCGCCGCCTACGCCTACCACAATCACCTCCTTTGAGTTGACTTGGTCCTCTTGTTGCGCCTCACAGGCACCATCCTCCCACCCTGCGCAATCTGGCCATTACCATTACTGCGAGACATGGAGCAGGCGGGACGATCATCACCCGAAGACATGGATGCCATAGCGAACGAGTCAGTGTTGTGTCCGTAGTAGAGCAATATGCCAGAGCGCATCTTCTTCACACCGAGGATGCCGATGGCACCAGCCGAGTTGCTGTGCTTGACACTTGGATGCCCTGGCGTGATATTAGTATGGAATTGAGTAGACAACACCAAAGCGATTGACGTACCCATAAATTCGTTCTCGATCATTGCTCGGAGAGCCTCGTCTTCGGTCACTTCAACGTAGTCGCCGCCACGGCCTTTCTTCACGCTCTGGTAGAGACGCTCGGCACATACTGTGGCAGCCATGGTGGTTGCCATGTGCTCCCCGGTCCCACTTGTAACTGTCGCGACGGATGTTTGTTCGGAATCGTCAGGGTCAATGGGGATGACCGCGGCTCCTACGCCGACAAGAGCTGCCGGGCCCACCCGGCCCCGGTACTTCATGCCAATGCCACCGGAAGATGCACCGCAAGCAATGTTACCCCAGCTGTCGATTGCGATAGCGCCAACAGTATCGGTAATATGGTCTTCTTCGACCTCATGCGCCGTGTGACTAGATGGCATGGGCGGCAGTGGCGCTGTCTCTTTGACATGATTTAATGGGGTCGATGCAGCAGCGAGCCGCGACTGGACTACATTTTCGTCTGGGGTTTCCGGTAGGCGGGTATCGATCGCGTCACATTGAGCCTTCTCCTTAGGACCGCCCTTCGCTGTCTGCACGCTGGATTCAGAGTCGAAATCCTCTCCAGATCCATCAGCCCACGCTCCACGCGATTTCGGTACGTAGTTTGTGTCGTCGCCCTCCATCTGCGCGTCTTCCATGATGCGTTCATAACCTGCGTCGCGACGATACTCTTTCACAGTAGGTATCTGTTGCGTGCTGTTTACGAAGGCACTGCGAGAAGCATCAAAAACAGTGAGCGGACGAGCCTCGGCAGCCAATGGTGCTGTATCGGTCAGGTCGGGTGCGTTGGTCGGCTCATCGCTGACCCAAGAGCTCGAAGACTGCTCTGAAGGAGGAACCGAAGGATCACAAGACGCATTCTCACCTTGACCGTACATTGAATCATCCGATATCGGAGGCGAATGTGATTGCAGCAGAGACGGATATGCCCGTAGCAGGTTCTGAGTGTGCTGTTCGCGCATGCGCTCCTGTGCCCGCTCATCGGCTGGTGCCGTAGCATCCCTGATCTTCCAGCATGATGGATGTGCACCACTCTTCTTGGACTTGCGCTCGGCTGCTCTCAAGTCGGAGCGCCATCGCATCCAACGCTCTTTCGCCGCAGGGGAGATGAGTGCATCATGAGGCAGGATTGGCATACCCATCTCGACAGCGAAGTCAGTGGCGCCCTGAGATACCAAAAGGTTTGGAGGCACTCGACGCAGCGTTAGCGGACTCATGGTATGGTCATGGACCATTCGTGCTAGGGATATAGGATTTTTGATTTCTGGCGATCGTCATCAGTACTAAGCCACAGCTTTGGTCGTCGAACGCTTACGAGCTACAGCCCCAACAGCTCCACTACGCCCAAAATGGTCGACCACGGAAGCATCGCACTCGACGACGCCATCCATGGCTAAGTTGCTGCCGTATCCTGCATTGGTGATTTCTCGGTCTTCCAAAGTCTTAATGGCGGCCTCGACAGCATCGAGGGCTGAGCCGCCGTTCTTAAGGATTAACATGGCTAACTGTGCAGCACTACGCATATCAGCACGAGCGAACTTTGCGACATCTTTTGGACGCATCGGAGCACTCACTCATTGCATGCTTCGAGATGAATCCTCTCATTCTGGTGGCTATGGTAGCCTGCGCCAGCATGAACATATATGCAGCACACATCATCATTCGGCGGACTACGCGAGGCTTTGCGTGTGTGTGTATCAACATTACAGGCTCCGTCTATGGGTGCATAGTGTCGATTCGGAACCGACATGCCTTTGTATGTGGTGAAGTGTCGGCAAAAGTCACGGAAATGCAGACTGAACGTATCCAGTGCAACACAGTGAGGGACGATGCCGCTCGGATGAGTCTTGGTTGTAGTTCGGGGCTTGACTCAGCACACAATGAGTGTTTGTTGTTGGCACAGAGAACTTTTGGCGATTAGTGAAGTGGGCGGTAGTGGTAGGATGTTGTGGATCTGGCTGTAAAGACGAAACGCAGGGAGATGTAGGGTCGACAGTGAAAACAGGTAATTTCAGGAGGGTGACTGAGGAAGGAAAGAAGAATGCGGAATTAATGAAGAGGTTGAGCCGATGTAAAGGCGAAGATGTCCTCTGGCGGCGGTGTGAGCAATGAGAGTGGGAGAGAAGCTCGATGAGCGCTGTAGGATCACAGTCAGTGGAGGAAAGGTTAGCAGCGATGTCAGAGGTGCGATGGTGATGGCTCTCGGCTGTACCTGCCCAAGGCATGCGATTGCAATGTTAGGCTTACGATTCAAAATTGGTTGGTGCAGCAGGCACACTAGATTGAGGAAGCAGGAGCGACCGTGTTTACGTGTTGAAGAGGACTGCAGTCTTCCCCCGCCATGTGTCCTGCGCCAAGGGCGGAGCGGGGCGGTGCCTGATTCGACTACATGCACCGACCTCCGCCATCACCGCTCTGACGAAGCCACCTCGACACCCAACCCACGCGCCTTCGCTCTCATATCAGGGATCACCTGAGCTGCTTTGTATATTGATTTTTACGCCAAGCAGCAGCAACCATGGCGTCCCAAACCCCCGCCGTTGTCATGGACAAGTAAGCTAATAGCTGCCGATGGGCACCCACGTTGCGATTGAGTACTGACACTGGCTGCAGCGGTACGGGTTACTCGAAGCTCGGTACGCTCAACGACTCAATTCAATGCATCAGCTCTTAATAACAACGCACCAGGTTTCGCCGGCAACGACTCCCCCTCGTTCGTCTTTCCCACTGCGATAGCTACCAAAGGTCCAACAGGCGGTAGCGGCGGATCAGGCTCTGGACGTCCAGCCGTTGCGAACAAGCCCTCATACCTGACTGGCGGAGCTGGGCCCGGTGGTCATCTGTCTGGAAAGCGCGGTACCGAGGACCTCGACTTCTTCATCGGCGACGAAGCTCTGGCCGCAGCTGGAGGCGCGGGCTATGGCATCAACTACCCGATCAGGCATGGTCAGATAGACAACTGGGTATGGAGGAGCCTGCAAATGGACACGAGGGTATACTGATGGCATGCAGGACCTTATGGAACGCTTCTGGTCCAACTCGATATTCAAGTACCTGAGAGTGGAGCCTGAAGATCACCACTTCCTCCTCACCGAGCCCGTACGCTGTGCTTCTACCACGAATAGAAAGACGACACTGACAGCCTATAGCCACTGAACCCCCCAGAGAACCGCGAAGCTACTGCCGAAATCATGTTCGAGTCCTTCAATGTTGCTGGTCTCTACATCGCCGTACAAGCTGTGCTCGCCCTGGCCGCGTCATGGACCAGCTCCAAGGTACAGGACCGATCCCTCACCGGTACTGTCATCGACTCAGGTGCTGGTGTTACTCACGTCATTCCCGTCGCCGAAGGGTACGTCATTGGCTCCTCCATCAAGAGTGTCCCCATCGCTGGTCGCGACATTACCAACTTCGTACAATCGCTGCTCCGAGAACGCGGCGAGTCCGACTCCTCCCTTCAGACCGCCGAGCGCATCAAGGAGGAATACTGCTACGTGTGTCCCGATATCGTCAAGGAGTTCGCACGCTTCGATCGCGAGTCAGACGACCGATTCAAGAAGCACACCGTCAACTACCCCAACGGCAAGACCACAACCGTCGACGTCGGCTACGAACGTTTCCTTGCGCCAGAGATCTTCTTCAACCCCGAAATCTATTCCTCCGATTTCCTCACCCCGCTCCCCACCATTGTCGACACCGTCATCCAATCCTCCCCCATCGATGTACGCAGAGGGCTCTACAAGAACATTGTGCTATCAGGTGGTTCAACACTATACAAGGACTTTGGTCGACGCCTGCAGCGTGATATCAGGCACATGGTTGATGCGAGGATCAAGGCATCAGAGGCGCGAAGCGGAGGTGCAAAGAGTGGTGGCCTGGACGTACAAGTCATTACGCATAAGAGACAAAGACACGGCCCATGGTTCGGAGGTAGCTTGCTCGGTCAGACACCCGAGTTCAAGAGTTACTGCCACACCAAGGCCGAGTACGATGAGATCGGTCCCAGTATTGTCCGAAGGTTCGCGCTGCTGGGTGGGCCTGGAAGCACGTAGACGGCGAGATAAGTATCGTGAGAAACGTGCGTAAATGTTGGCATGGCTTTGAGCGAGCAGGAGATGTACAGCAAAAACCTTTGACAATGAAAACACTCTCAACAAATTCGTAGAATCAATGTGCTCACCACCATTCACTAACCATACAATGAGGAATCTCCGTCATCGTTCTCACGCCTCTCCATTCTGCGCAGCATTCTCCTTCCTCCTCAACACAGCCACACCCTCCACATGCCCCGTCTGCGGGAAAAAGTCAAACCCTCTCAAACTTTCAATTTCATAACACCCCTCGCCTTTCCCAAACCCGCCATCAACACCCATCATCCCGCCTACCAGCACGCCCACATCCCTCGCCTGAGTATGCACGTTACAACTCACATACACCACTCTTGCGGGTCCATACTGCACCAGCTGCCGCAAGAAGGATTCATCGCAGCCTTTCCTGGGCGGATCTAGCATGACGACCGTTTCGTCGGCGGGAGACTCGATGGAAGCGAAGAGACGGGCGGCGTCAGCGGCGATGAAGCGTGTAGAGGACTCTGGAAGATTGTTCAAGCGTGCGTTTGTAGATGCGGAGGTTATACTAGCGGGGGATATGTCGATGCCGAGGGAGGACTTGAAGAGGGAAGAGAGGGTGATGGTGAAGAGGCCGGAACCCGAGTATGCGTCGATCAAGTGGGTGATTTTATGATTGGGCGCTGATTTAGAGGAGGGTAGGATATTTTCGCGTATGTATTGTGTGAAGACAGGGAGGATGGAGTTGTTGTTCTGGAAAAAGGAACCAGCTGGGTTGACAAACTGGAAGTCGGAGATGTACTCTGTCGATTTGGCGTTGGGATCTGTTATACATGTTTTGCGGTGGATGTGCTCGCCTCTGTCTTCGATTACAGCATCTGAGTCTGTTTCCTTTGTGACATCGTATTCGTTTTTGGGAATACGCTTTGTGTCTTCGCGCAGCAGAAGTGTAGCGCCTTTGTGGTATGTGGATATGGCGTCTGCGACGCGTTTTCGCTCTCGCTTGTTGCCTGCGCGGACGGCGTCTGTGCCAATGGGACAGTCTTCTATGTCAATTGTTGTACGTGTTCCTTTTTTCATGAAGCCAATGGGGGGTATTTCTTTAAATGTTCGCTTGATGCCATTTCGACCGTCACTTCGACGGGCGTCTGGAGGGCCGTCGAAATGAGGGGTTAGTTTTGTGCGGTATCCGTACTGCAGTGGTGAACCAATTGTGTCGCCGATGGTGGGAATGAGCTCGGGTGGGAGGTTGGAGAAGTTCTTGTATGCCTTTTCGACAATGGTCTTTTTGTGTTGAAGTTGGAAGTCGTAGGGTAGCATTTGGAATTGACAGCCTGAGCAACTGGCGAAGTAGGGACATTTTACAAGAGAGTCATTGCGGTGATTTGAAGGCGTGATGACATTGACGAAGTCAGCCATGGAGTACTTTTCTTTCTCAAAGTGTTTGTGCGGTCGTGCTGTCACAATGTCTCCAGGTGCGCTAAAAGGCACAACATAGACCTGATCCGAGTCCGAGTTGTGCTGGAAACCTAGGCCATCACCAGTAGAAGATATCTCCTTGATCTCAACTGTGATCTCTTTGAACTTCTCTGGCAGTATTGTCGAGCCTTCCTTTCCTTCTCTTTGAAGATTAAGATTTTTGATGAGCGCAGTAACATCCTGCAATAAAACTTCCTCATTGGTGCCGTTCGTTTTCAAGATTTTACTCTGCTCAGCATGACCGTTCTTCATGCGCTTGTTCTTGAACCTGTAATTGCCTCGTGGTCCTTCCTCGCTCCGTAAAGGTGTCTCTGCATATCTTTTTGCGCCATTGCTTTCGATAGGCGCAACATTGTCGGCGGACGAAGCCATATTGTACCTAGCAGTTTGAGAATAGCGGCTACTGGCCAGCAGTGTCCGAAGCGGTCGAGTAAAGATCCGAGAGTACATGCAGCGTACGTGGAATGGAGAAAAGAGAAAGTTGAGTTAGTCACGGGGATGGGAAGGCGGCGATTGGCTGGAGCGATTACTGCCATTCCGCTTAGTCACCTTTGAACTTTCCGAACTTCACTTTGACCATCACGCCGCCGCGCAGGCCACCCGCTGTTACCGCCGCCCTGCGCTCAATTGGCCCTCAGTCGGAGGTTGAAGGGCAAAAATGAGCGTCTGCCGCCCCGCAAGATGTCTCTTCACCAAAGCAGCATCGACGACTCTTCCTAAACCACCTCCGCAACGCACTTTCCATGCTTCCGCACCCAGACAAGCCCGCAAGAAGAGACCACATTACCCGTCAATAAAAGCCGACGACCTCAAGTTACTCAACCAAGCGGCGGAAGCAGAATACCCAAAGTACGATACCGCAGAGACGACGCTCCTTGAGAAAAAATACACCCCCTCGCAGATCGCCGCCATCAAAGCCGCAGAGTCTACAATCGACGCACGAGATGTCCTCACACAGGGTCAGCGAAGAACAGACCCATGGCGTCTCAACTACGAAGACGACCTCGCACAGGTAGACCCAGTAACAGACCGACCTGAGCGTCTGACCGGCGACGACATTGAAGGCTCCAAAACCTTCCGCATCGCCAACGAAGTCGAGCGCGACCAAAACATAACCCGGTTAGCAACGGAAAACCTCGCCAAAATGTACCCCAACGGCATACCAGAAGGCGAAACCGACGAGGCTTTGCAAAACGCTATGGATGCAGCTGTCACGCAAGCCACGCTGGACCCACGTGCAACCTACACATCGAAGAACCCCGCCGCTTTGCAAGCCTTGGGAGACGAGCGCCACTCCGTCATCGCACCCGACCTCCCCCGTGTCGAAAGCCGCATGGCCCGCCAAACACGCCGCCTCAAGACCGAAGAGGAAGAGGACCCCCGGCAAAAGCGCCTCTTGCAATACCTGGGCTGGGACAAGCAAAAGTTGCGCCAGATCCGTGTCAAGACTTTAGTTGTTCACGGCGTCACGAACCAGACACGTATGGGCAAGATAAGAAGTCTGTACTACCTTACCATAGCGGGAAACCAAGATGGTCTATTAGGTGTCGGCGAGGGTAAATCCGTAGAACCGGAAGAAGGACGCAAGCAGAGTGTCATGAGCGCGATACGAAACATGCGTCCAGTTCCACGCTACGAGAACAGGACGACATTTGGAGATTTGGAGACCAAGGTGGGCGCTACTCGCGTCCAGCTCTTTTCCAGACCGCCAGGTAAGATAAAACCTCCTCATACTACCCATCACTCCAGTAAACTCTCCGGTTGCAATGCTAACTCGAATGCTCATAGGTTTCGGTCTCCGCGTCCAACATCTCATCTTCGAGCTCGCACGTGCAGCCGGCCTCCAAGACTTGTCTGCAAAAACCCCTCGTTCGAGGAACAAAATGAACGTTATCAAGGCGACATGGGAGGCGCTGACAAGTCAGAAGTTACCAGACGAGATTGCAAGGGCGAGAGGTAAGAAGTTGGTAGATGTTAGGAAGGTCTACTATGGTGGGTCTATTCACTAGAATTCAGTGTAGCAGAGTTGGATTTTGTGACTAGTTGTTTTGTTAGATATGGACAGGGTATGACTGAGATGTATCATATGCATGGTATGAAGTTGGGTGGAACGGCTCATAGAGAGCTTGTGTAGATATCTTGTATCATATCACGTCATCTTGCATGTGTCCATGTCTGCTTGATGCGCGAACGCTCTCTATTCTCTCTTACTGTCTTGCTCTCTAGTGGGGTATCATAGTCTCAGACTCTTTTATGCTAGCGTTGTTTGGACGCACCACGCTCACTCCGACATTATGTCATATCCATCTATTCGTTTGTCGTCCATGCCACTTCTCTCTTCCTTTTTCAGTCTCTTAATTCAGTGTTGTCATCACCAGCGTTACTGCCCCCCTCGGTGTCAATCTGCTGATTCAACACAATACTGTAAACACTAGCTTTCAGCAGCGTAAACACCAAACTAGTTTTCCGTTCAAGGCCGCGCAGTCCGTCCAGTATGGCAGCGCTGGGGTTGTTCGATAGGTCTAGCAGGAGGGAGGAAAGCTACTCTGAGCGTTAGTGAGAATCAGAGGAAACGACTGACACGGCTTATCATCTTCAGTCGGTGGAAAAGGCAAAGACGAACAGTATTCAAGTTTCCCAACAACCGCGCATATTCATCCAAAACTTCTTGTTCGAGCGGCGTGAGGGTCTCCTCCCCATCCGACATTTGGCTTGCTCCAAAGTTCTGCTCTCCTGTTGCTGCTTCCGAAGCCATGGTTCTTCTGTGCTCTCTGTGTCTTGTTCACAGATTTGATTGAGAGTTGTTTCGTTGATGCGCTTGTACGTGGGGGATCGGGGATCGCGTAGTCTGTGGTCGATGGAAGAGCGGCGGCGGGGTGAGGTGACCTCGAGACTTTGTTGAATGTGCTTCCGTTCGTGCACGCAAAGGATGAAATCACGCAGCACTGCTCCACTCGTTTGCAGTGTTCAATCTGTGGCTCGGGTGTCGTGGGTTCCTAAAGTCGATTGGTAGGTTGAAGCGCAGCAGATGTTACCGTCGCGTTATTTGGAAGCAAGGGTTCCCGCGAATAGGTCATCGCGTCTTCCCCGCGTTGGTCAATGCGCTTGTTACCTATGTACTCCAAACTTGCTCCATCTTGCGTTCGCGCTCATCTTGTGATGATTCAATTGCAATTACTTAGAGTAACCTTACCCCGTAAACGCTATCGAATATATCCTTCTAGCAAAAGGAAGGTTTAGCAAACTCCGAACTCCCAAGTCGTTCAAGATATATGCTTGAGTTCCCTGTTAACAGATATCAAGGCCAGCATGAGCCGCCTTGCGCACATACGAGAGCACACCTCATATGTCAAAGAAAGTAGTAAATTAACAATTTAATAAGCTAGTTTCTAGGCCCCCTCCTCCTTGTCCGTTCCAGCTTGCCAAATCATCCCAAACATACATAAGAAACTATATAACCAAGGAGACTTGTTGTATACAATCTGGTGTAAAGTGCGAAAATACGGTCTTGCGGGGGTATATATTCCAATCCAAAAGACAGAACGCGAGCAAAGCAGCAAGCATTAGGTACCAAGGTGAAGACACCAACCAAGAGAGAAAGAACCAGGACGTAGTCAAAGACAGGAACGCTCATACGAGCTAAGATAAAACAAAAAGTAAATAGTTAACAAAGGAAAAGGTTTTCAGTTTCGATACGGCAGAGAAATCTACCGTTGCAATTCCCTCCCAAAGTTCAACGCCAAAGGCGTCAATTCACCATCAACAGTACTCTCATCATCGTAGAAGCCGCTTTCACTGAACGGTTCCATTTCAGCATCTTGGTCATACGCCTGCTTCCTCATCAGAGGGGGTGTACGCGGCTGCTTGCCGAGCGCTGGGAACCCTACTTCGGTTGACGCACGGGAGCTATTAGAATTTGAGCGCATGACTGCAGGACGCTGCTGCGATGAAGAAGCAGTTGAGAGCTCAGATCCACGGCGCGCGTTGGAGGTTGGCGGAGTCATAAGGCCCGAGAGGAAGGATTGTGCGGAGTGGGGTTGCACGCGCGAAGGTGTCTGGGTACGTGCGGTAGGCTTAGTGGAGGAGTTGCCTGCGAGAGCAGACGTAGCTTCGCCGCGACCCTTGCGCCAATTGCCGATAGCGGCAGCGAGCTGGACTGCTTTAGGTGACGCAAAGTTGGAGAGGGAGCTCAGGGTGGGGAAAGATTGTTGCCCGCCTGAGATGAGACGTTCCTTTTCGGATTGCTCCATCTGCAAGTTTGTGCGGATGCGGATTGCGGCGTCGCGGACGGTCTCGCGGTCGAAGGTTGGCTGAGCAAGAGAGTTGATGAGGTCATTTAGGTCATCGACGCGTACGCCAAGTAGCTCACGGAGCCAGTTGATCTCGGTGTCGCGCTCCTTCAGTTTAGCAGGAGCCTCAGTGTCGACTTCTTCAAGCTGACGCTCAAGAGACTCGATACGTCCCTCCCGCTCTTGTAGCTGCTCCTGGAGAACACCGATGGACTCGCGCAACGCCTGAGCTCCTGCGCCGCCACCGAACGAAGAAGTCGTAGGAGACTTGGCTGCCGCTGCAGCAGCGGCACTGGCAGCTTCCTTCGCGACCTGGAGCTTCTCTTCCAGCAACGCAATCTTGTCTTTGAAGTGGTCGAGCTTGGAGTCGGCCAAAGCAAGCTTGTCGTTGTGGAAAGCCTCGGCACGCTCCTTGTCTTCACGAGCGAATTCGAGAGCGCGAGCATGCTCATGCTTGATGTGCTCAAGTTGACGCTCAAAGGTGCGCTGCTGCTCATGCAGACTGTGCCTGTTGTTCTCCACTGCTTCTTGCACAGCTTGCTTCTTGAGGTCCGAAGCCGCCTCCAAATCCAGCTCGTGCTTCTCCTTGGCAGTATCAGCATCCAAGCGGACCTGGTCCAGCTCGGCGCGGACACGGGCGATCTCGCTCTCAAGCTCGTGGCGAACAATGTTGACCTGGTTATTAGCTGCATCAACATCGGCCTCCATGAGCACGCGGGTGCGGCGGATCTCGACGTGCGCAGCATCCCTGGCCTCTCGCATGTCACGCTCGTAGCGTTGGGCGTTCCTCTGGTGCTCCATAGACTCCTTCCTCAGCTCTTGGATTGTCTCCTCAAGTTTGGCGTTGTGCTTCTGAGTTTGCTCAAGATGGAATCTGAGTCTCATACCTTCACGCTCCTGGGTTTCCAAGCGCTCAAGCTCCCTCTCCAGACGCTCCCGTGTGCGGCCCTCAGCTTCGATGCGTGCGCTGAGAACCTCGTACTTTGTCGCAGACGCCTCTTCGTGCTTCTGGAATTGGGCACGCTCAGACGCGACCTGCTGCGAAGCGGCAACCATGTCTTGTTGAAGCTTCTCAAGCTTGGTACGCATAGATTCTCGCACACGAGTAGCCTCCTCGGCCTGGAAGCGGGCCTCTCCAATAGCCTTGCGGAGCTTTTCTCCTTCTTCATGAGCGTCCTGGAGGTCGCCTCGCCACTTGTTGGCAGAGAGACGATGTTCCTCAAGCGTGAACGTAAGCGCCTCATTCTCTGCTGTGACTGAATCGAGTCTCTTCTTGAGGTCCTCCTCCGAGCTCTCCAATGCAATGTTTGTGAGCTTAAGCTGCTCACTCTCGATGTCGAAAGCAGACAACTTGTCGCGCATTTCAGCTGCATCGGCCTGGTAAGATTCAAGGCTGCGACGAAGGACGTCTCGCTCCTCAGTCAAAGTACCAATCTTATGCTCGTCGTCCTTGGCAGCCTGTTGGAGAAGTGTAAGCTCTTCCTCTGTAACCTTGAGCAGACGTGCAGAGTCTGCTTCTCGGGCCTCGATAGCTTGGCGGGCTTCAGCTTCAGCGTTGAATCGGAGGGTGGCTTCCTTGAGCATTTCCTCAAGGTCTGTGATACGAGCATCCCTCTCCTGAACAGCTTTAGATTCCTCCCGTTGGGCGACCTCCATGCCGTGACGGCTCAAGGCATCGTCAACAAGCTCACGCACATCTTCAGCCTGGAGATGGTGACTGGTAGTCTGCGCGATTGAGGCCTTGAGACTGCCGATGATTTGGTAGAGCTCGGACATATCAAGCTGTGGCTGTGGAATATCGACAGGAGCCTCAAGAGCAGCGGGCTTCTGGTTCGCCAAAGCCTCAGCAACGATAGATCGGATCATGTCTGGCTGTACATTGTCGGCAGTTGGCGCAGCAGGTGCTTGAGGCTGGTGAGATGCGAACGCCTCGGCGACGATGGAACGAATGTTCTCCGCTTGCACCTGTTCCAAGGCTGGCTGGTGTGATGCGAGAGCTTCGGTAACGATGGCCTTCAGGTCGTCAGGCCAGATTTGCTCAGGTACTGGAGGTGGCATCGGTTGAGGAGCATGCGTCTCGAACGCCTCCAACACAATGGATCGGATATCATCAGTCTTGACCGGCTCCACTGGCTGAGGAACATGAGTTGCGAGCATGTCAGAAAGAATAGAGCGGATGTCTTCAGGCTTGAGGGGCTCGGCGACCTGTTCCTGCGCAGGCTTGGCGGAAGCAATCGCATCTTGAACAATAGCGCGAATCTGATCAGCAGGAACAGGTTCAGCAGGTTGCACAGATGGCTGGTGTTGCGCAAGCGCGTCGGTGACGATCTCCCGGATCTTCTCTGGGATCATCGGTTCGGGTACGGGCACCGGAATAGACGTGATCTGTGATTGGTGCATCTCAAGCGCGTCCTTGACGATGGATCGGATCTTCTCCAGCCTCCTGTCTTTTCCTCGAGATCGATTACGGTAGTCAACGTCGGTGCCGGCATCATCATCTTCGTCGTCGGCATCGCTGTCTAGACGTGCGCTAGTGGACATGCTACGGCGTCCGCGTCCCGGACGTTGCGACATCATTGCAAGCGCCTCTTGGATGCCTTGCAGGTTTTGCTCTAGCGGGCCAAGGCGGTCCTGCAGGAGACGACCCATGAGGTCATCAACATGTTTGTCGAAGAAGCCACTGCGGGTCTGAACCTTGGACTCGTCCTCAGTGAGGAGGCCTTCGTCCCAGTCGCTCATGGGTCCGGCGTCAGCGTTGTTCAGGTGGCGCACAGGTGAGTCGTATGGAAGCGCAGCCCGCTCATCATCGAATGGATCTTGCCCTGATGTTGCAGAGCCCTGCATAGGCCGTCCAGGGAAGAAACCGCGGCGGGGGCTGGGGCTAGGCGCGTCGCTGCGCATCTTGAAGCTGGGCTGCAGGTCATTGCGCTCAAACACATTCGGTGTCCTCTGGGGCGAGGATTGATCCCAGGAAGTCTCGTCGCGCTCAACGCCAAAGTCAGATCCTTCGCCATCCATGTGCTTCATGACAGCATCAATGTCGTTGAAGGAAGCATCGCCAAGGTTGTCGAAATCAACGCTCTCACTCTCAGGGTAAGCCCGGTGCCTACCAGATTCCATGGCAGTCTTGAACGAGCCGTCGTCGCTAGGTCTGTAGGTGGTAGCTGGACTTCTGCTGGCGTATCTTGGTGGAGATACTTGAGTCTTCTCTGGATCTTCGACCTGAGATGGCTTCTGAACGTGGAAGCCGAAGTCGTAGCCGGCACTGTTGAATTGAGGTTTGAACTCGAATGGTTTGGCACTGGCCGATAGAGTGCTCTTGTGAGTATGCTTCTTACCCAATGGCTCAGGTTCCTCGGTGGTAGGTGTCGGCACGTCGCTTGCATGAGGCGTATCGTCATCTGCACCTTCATCGCTCTCTGGAGCCGGTGGAGCCGGTGAGATAGGTGCCATGACGATCTCTCGC